TTTTTGCTTTACCTTTACCTCTAAAAAACTTAGATTATTAGCCCTTCTTATGAGCTGCAACAAATCTGTTGTTTGAGTGGAGGAATGGGTTTTTACGATAAATATAATGGAGCACAGGCAGTAAGGGAGATAGAAAAAAAGACCAGAAATTTAGCAGTTTCCTTGTTCTTCTCTTTTCATTCCTGGACAGACAAGTAAAGCGCCCTTCCCTCTATGTGGTGGGTGAGATGAACTCCAGTGGGAATACTGTAGACCCCACCTGACAGCTCTCTGCCTGAGCAACTGAAGGATTTTCACTGGAGCTTCTACAACCACAGAAGTGGATTCGTATAAAAAGCAGCTTGCCTAAAATCCAGCATCTCAGCGGTTTCACTCATTTTGAACCAAGTAATTTAGAATAGTTGTGTTATATGATGTATACCTTTAAAGATGATAAAATCCTGAAGACATAATGATCTAGGGGAAAGTGAAAAATAAAAAGGATACACGTGTACTGAAAGCCAAGTAATGGAAAACCCTAGATTCCAGTCTCCCCCTGACTTTTGATTTTTTTCTCCTCTTGTGTGATGCGTCAGTCTTTCCCAGTCCTTGAATAGCACCCCACTTTTTTTTGTGCGTCCCGCACAATCACATATTTCCCTGCTCCACCTTCTCAATTCAGTGGTTGCTTTCTACCCAGAGTTCAGCCTGGCCGGCACAACCATTCCAGCTAAAGGGGAGGAGGACTTCCTCACACTGGCAGCCTCACGGCTCAGCCGAAAGAAACGTGTCATTGGGGCTGGAGTCGGCGTGGCCATGGTTCTGGTCCTGCTGGTAGCCATTCCCCTATTGGTCCACACCACCAAGGGGGGAGGGTCCGGAGGAGGAGGCACGCACTATGAGATGTTGGGTAGCTGCAAGATGGTGTGTGACACTTTCACCCCCCCACAGGGAGAGCTGACAGCTGTCTCCCCTCAGCCCCCGGACTTCTCAAACCGCAGGGGCAAACAGGGGTTCAGAGGAAGCCCTGGACTTCCTGGTCCTCCAGGTCCTAAAGGCCCCCCTGGAGAGCCCGGTAAGCCCGGCCCACCTGGCCCACCAGGGCCTGGACCTGGTGGTTACGGCCCTTCCTTCTACAGCCCCAAAATTGCCTTCTACGCCGGCCTCCGGAAGCAACACGAAGGGCGTGAAATACTCAAATTTGACGATGTGGTGACCAATGTAGGGAACTACTATGAGCCGAGTACCGGCAAGTTCACCTGCCCTCTGCCAGGTATCTACTACTTCACCTACCATGTCCTGATGAGAGGAGGTGATGGGACGAGCATGTGGGCAGACCTGAAGAAGAATGGACAGGTGAGTGCGAGTTTAGGTGGGTTTGTGCTGCAGTGTTTCTGAACTGGACTGACCTCCCCTTGCAATCAAACCAACACACAAACATTAGTAAGAATCTTTTGCATCAGTGAGTTCAAATACAAGAGCAGTAAATATAAAAGTATATAACTAAATAACATGCTTAGATCAGAACTTCAGGTAATAGATGCAATTCACTAATTTAAGAAACATTTTGTCATATAGTTTAAATGCAGGAAGATGCTGTGTTATTTACTATTGAAGTGGACTTCATTGTGCTATGCAGGTGGTGACTGCCACTCAGATTTTGAACATGGTTAAAAAGAAATCCCCCAAAAGTGAATTCCAAACAATACTCCGCTGAGAAAATCATAGTGAAGTTTTAGACAAATCAAATATAGAGAGAGATAATTAAGCTGAAATACACTAAAAATGTAAGAGACTTCAAGGACGCAAAAAAGAAGAGGAAAGGAGGTGGGAGTAAGAAATGGTTTAGAAGAAATTGTAGTTATTTGCACAACTTGCATGTGGAAAAAGAGAGAAAAAGAGGGAGAGAGAATGACAGCCAAGCGATCAAGAGGATAACAATCCTCTGCGTCTCGGTGGAGCAAAGCCAAAATGCAACAGCTGGCTACTGTCCTCTGAGAAACTCTGACTTTAACACTAATAAATAAACAAGTACAAAATGCCTGGAAAAAGCCTTGAATGCTTCCATCTGGAGAGCAGTGACAAGCTTGAAGTACTAAGCCCTCGCTCTGTTGAGGCGCTCTGATTCTGACATGTGTGCTACAGAACAGAAGAGTGATGTCCTGGGGATTACTGGAGAAGAAGAAGAAGAAGAGGGGGGGGAAGCATGCTTTGCATTGTTGCAAAGGTTTAATGGTAACACAGTTTGTCCACACAGATTACACGGTACATGAACTGACAACAATATGCTACTGAGCAGAGCATCACTGTGCTGGGCTGCTGTTCATTGGTACGCTTTATTAAATCTACATCAAAATCAGCAGGCTAAGAAGGATTTACCAGAAGAACACGGGCTAGTTTTTAATTTGAGAATCGCCACTGTGGAAACAGACAGATGCAGATTTAACATAAGGGTTAAATCTTGTTCTTACTTCAATCAAACATTGCACATACGAATTATGTGTCTTACTGTATGTGTCTTAACTATTAGGACAAAATGATTTCTAGTTTTCATCAATACTGAAGCACCGACATCCCTGTAGGCCTCGTCAGCAGCCCTTGCCCAGTCTACTGTAAGTGCTTGTGGCAGATTGCTGTTGCTTTTTTATGACCTGAAGCTACCCCCAGGTCAACCACTGGGAGTCACTTGTCCAGCAGCAAGAAAACACATCTGACCTTGCTAGCTTTTCCACTATTGGCCGAAATTTAGCAGCAGCAACATCACGGAGGATGCTACAAGGAAACAAACCCAGGGTTACTGCAGTGGTGGACTAAAGCTATATTTACAAGTTGCCCATGTTCCCCAATGTCAGCTTCTTTTTTGGTTAGTGGGTTGTGTCACAAAACTCTGAGACGTAGTGCAAAGTAGTTCAAGAAATAAAAAATTGGTGCACAAAAAAGTTTTTTTTACTGGAAATGTGCTTGTTGTAGCCTAACATTCTCTTTTTCTTACTGATTTTGAATGAAATATGTGGCATCCCCTGATTTTCTATTGCAGTGTGTGTTGCAGATCTGAGGACAGATAATAGTCATAAATTAGTGCCACAGCGAGTTTGATTATTTATTATTATGCCTACATTTTATATTTTATTGGGACAAATTGATCATCACAGCCTGTGAAAGATTGATGCACTTTGAAAAAAAAAAACTTATCCCAGCCCTGGAAACAGCATAGTATATCTTCCAAATGATTGTTTGCAGTAAAAAAAAACACCTAATATTTAAAGTTGAAATGTTGGAAAACAATATTTGGTTCATTGGCTTGCATAACGACTGATATTGCTAACCAGTTATCATACTTTCCACCAAAACAACAGAGTCTGCCCATATAATAAAAACAGTAAGTTAAAATGAATGTCTTATCTTATCTTATCTTACTTGCTGATGCTGTGTAAACGTACATTTGAGCTAACCATTACTTTCAAATTCAGACCTGTTTAGTCTGTTTCATGCTGCTTCCAGACATGTAGTATATTGAATATACATTATGTGACTGATCGAGTCCATAAAGAAAGCTTTTCCCAGTTATTGATTTGACAGCATGTACCTAAGGTGCAGAGTAAAAAGGACAGACAGCTTAATGCCAGATATAATTGGGGGGGACCTGGTTTGTTGCAGCGTGCCTTCACAGACATTGTCATTCCTGTCTTTTCCTGCTATTAAATCTTTCATAGCTTTTAGATGAGATCTTCTCCCCTTCACCTGTGCCCCTCCTTTAGTCATGTGCTCGCGCACATACACACACATACACATGTGCACCTTGCACTTTTCCTGTCCACACTAGCTATTGACTCCTTCCCCATTAATTATCTTTTCCAACAACTAAATTATTAAACCCAATTCAGTGCTGATCTTGCCCTTTTCATTGCACCCGCCTTCCTTTTTTTTCTATTCTTCTGCTAATAGACAGGTGCTCATGAACCTTGGTGAAGCTGCTAGGTCAATGAGAAAACTTTAATACAGAAATTCTCTCTTGAGAGATAGCCAAGACACTACAACTACTACACTACAACTATTGTGAATTTGTTGTTCTTCAAGGAAGATTTAATTATGTTTCTTATAAGACATCAGTATTATTATATGAGAAATAAATGATCAATTAAAATATTCACAAAAAGAAGAAATGTCCTTGTTTGTTTTAGATGAAAAGATAGATACCAATCTCTTTCCTGTACGCTCTTTCCTGAAACACAGATTTTCATATCACAAATTACTCTACCCAAAACTACAAATCTTAAGAGCACATTTCAAGGTCAGGCCAGTTTCAGCCAAATGGGTGATTTTCAACAGTTTTCTGTTGGCTAAGTGCTTTTAAAAACCAATGAAAACTAAAAGAACAGCATTTAAAGCCAATTCAGGGTAAAATAAACAAAATATGGCAACAAAATAAACAAGGACACTATTAGATAAAATACAGACGCTCTTTCATACACTGAATGGAAGCATGACCAACAAAGGGTGTTTACTGCTACTGTGGACCATGTTAGTATGTCTCCAGATAGATAGAAGAAAGAATACGTGTGCGAATGAGCAGAAGACAGGTGGAAAGGTGAACCATGGAGTAGAGATAGTAAGGGGAAGATGAGTACCTATGGTCAACCATCCAAAGCAGTGTACAGTGCATAGGAGAGGTGAGGAAGAGAGTGCAGCCAGGGTGGAGATGCTCGGAGATGAGTGTCAGGGCTGATTTGTGACTGAAGGATGGCAGCAAGAGTGAAAGGGGAGGTTTAGAAAATGGTAATGAGATGTGCTTTGATGTATGGTTTTGAGATTGTGCAACTGACAGGAGGCCATCTGGAGGTGGCAGAGCTGAGGATCCTAAGATTTTCAATGGGAGTGACCACGATGGAAGGAGTAGAAATAAGTACATCAGAGGGAGGGGACGAGGGGTGGAGACAAAGTTCGAGGTTGCTGCAGATGCTTTGTGTAATGTTGAACTTAATTCCTGTTACTGAACAAGAATGGTTTAATAATCAGTTACTAGCAGCTCATGTGCTTATTAACCAAATCTTTAGTTAAACTTGAACTGGATCCAGACCTTTGAATCCATTCAATCCACTGAACTGACTCATTACCTAATCAGACTGTAAGTAAAAGATGGAGGTATTTGAAGTAAAAAGTGAGGCGCGAGGGGTAGCTAGAAACTAACAGACATTGCACATCCACACGGTAGCGACTTGTACTACACTACAAGGAGTCCAATTCATAAATCATACACTGGTTTGTCACCTGTTGTTCTCTAAATGGGACCAGTATTTTCATGCTATAGTTAAAAAGACCTGAAACTAGAGATGAGATGATCATTGATCATAAACTCATTAAGAACGTGTTTACTGAGGTTATAATTCAAATAAACAGTAGTGTATTGACTTCTATACAGCCTGACATGTTTTTTAGCCTGAAAATCTGTCCCCCCCCCCCTCGTCAGTTAAAAAGAACATAAGGTTAAGACTTTTTATTTAAGCTTTACTTTCCAGAGGCTACTTTCTTTAAACCAGCATTATTACTGAGTAATGAGTCAAAAAAGTGACTGAAGTGTTTTTACTTTGCTCGGCTCTATTTTTAAAGCCCATCAAAACCCATTTGTGGGTAAGGCCATGTATCACTGATGAATATACTTATCCATTTTTATTAAAGTGTGCTTCAGCTATAACCCCCTAACTTCAGCTATAATGAAGCTATAACATCATTAGGATCAGGCGTCCTATAGACACTCTGCACTTGCAATTTGTCTCTAGTCATTGTTTACAGAGCACAATACATTTGGCTAAAGTAGACGTTTATACATTTTATTCAGATGTTTTGCAGATTTTTGTTTTTACTCTGTGCTAATTGAACACTTTTTAAAAAACAGATAAAATTTGATCTCACTGGCAGCTGGGTCCAGCTGCATCCTTGCTGTACTGAAGGGGGAAAAAAGCATTTCCTTTAAAGTCTGCCTTTAACATATTTCACAGCATGAGGTGACTTGTGTGCGTGCGTGTGTGTATGTGTGCGCGCACTGGGCCTACGACAATCGTCAGACTGACGGGCACAGTGTTGATCCACTTCTTGTCAAAGGGAGCAGAGAACAAGACACATCCTGGGGAGAGATCACTGCAGAGCGAGACAGAACAGACGAGCGGGCTGGCAGAGAGACAGAGATGGATGGATATTCGCAGGAGAATGGACAGAGGTTCTCTAAATTAAGACATGAGCTGAAGACAAAGCAATGCAGTCAGCCAGACAGTATATGACAAAAAAATATCAGACGTGTGGCCGGTTCTTCATCTCAAACAATGGCTAATGAATTATGTAGCTGATAAGCTTACGCCACG